CTCTCTCCCCCCCCCCACTGGTTGGGAACAAAGAATTGGAGATGGTGGAGTTGTAAGATGAAGCAGCAAGGCCCCTGAGTCTTCCTGACACATATTCACCTGTATCATGAGCAAGAAATAAACCTGTGTTGTATTAAGCCACTGAGATTTTTCAGTTTGCCTATTGCAACGGATTCCACTAATTATCATGACTAAAATGGAAATCTATCCCAAAAATGAGATACAGAAATATAAACTTTGTGTCATTACCTTAGTAGTTGGGTAGCAAGTGATGTTTAATAGACCGAATGGCTGGAGATCCATGTTATGCAGGAGCAAAACATTTGGTAAAATTGTCAGAAACTACAACTTAAAGGCAGACTCTTATGCCTTCTGAATTTGTCACTCTAAGGACAAAAATTGGAAAGTAAAACATTGGTTTTGCGTGCTGGTTGCCGGCAGCTGTGTTTGGCAAGGTGCTAAGAGAAAGAAATTAGTTCAAGAAATAATTGAGTGCTTTGCAAGTGGAAATGAAAGGGAATACGGAGAATAGAGGAATTTGGGACTTTGTAGGATTGAAAAAACCACCTCCTTCTAGAGCCCAAATTGCAGGAGATAGAATTTTTAAAGGTTTTGCATGACAGTGCCCTGTAAACCGTCTAAGGTGAGTAAAGTGACCTCAGCACAGAGCATTGTGGCAGCCGTGAGAGTGTGCTCCACACACATCCAACTACAGTGAACATAACTGTGTTTGCCCAAGGCCATGCTTCCCAGAGGCAGCTCCCAGCCTTGACTGAGCATGGCAGGCTCATTACTGGGAAACACTGGACTCCTCTGATGGGCAACTTCCCAGAGGCCTTGACAAACCTTCCTTGGATTGCATGGCTGCCTAGAACACCATCCAACCTGCCTTTCCCATCTCTTTCACTCAAAGTCAGACTTGCTTTGCAGTGTGATGGCTCTCCCAGCCTCCTCCAACTCCCTGTCCTTTTCTCTCATAAGCATTTCTGTAGTAAAACTTTATATATTTAATCCTATCTTTGTCTCTGTTCCTCAGGGGAGCTAGGCTAACACAACTACATTAAGAGTATGTTGTCTCACACTAATTTTTACAAAAAGCCTGAGGTAGATGCTCTTTGGTTGAAAGGGGGAGGCATGGGGAATGAAGAAGTAAAGAAGCACAGACAATTTGCGAGATATGTCTAGAAATGAACGGTATATATTGTTACTGGGATATTGAAGCAAACAGATCAGAAGCCCCCTAAGTTTTTAAGTCTGAACTAAAAAAGCCTTCTATTGTTGAAGACTTAAACAATTCTTGGGCACCCAACCTCAATGAACTGGAGGCAGCTTTCGAAAGTTCTGCTGGTCCAAGCAGAGCTTGAATGATCCTCAACATTCACTTCAGATGAGGCCAAGGGGAGTAATGAACAAGAAGGAGCCTCCTCAAGGGCACAGTCAGTGTCCATTCAAGGCCATCCCTTCACTGCCAGGGCAGGGGGACTTCACAGAGCCTGACCTGTAGGATTTGAGGAATGTCATATACTAGTGACTGAGTGGGGTTTACATTCTCCCCCTCTCCACAGCAGATATTCTGACCCTGCTCCACCACTCTATATTGTGTCTTAAAGGTAGGGTATGTTTAGATGACATGTCTTTTTAGCCACATCTGGATCTGATAGAGATGACTACAGAACCTTGCAGACTTTGAGCTGGATGCAGCGACTGGATGAGACTTGAGGTGTCCACATTAACAAGGTGGTGGTGTATTTATATGGAGAACAAAATGTGTGAGTAACCAGAATGACAATTTGTGATTGTGACTTGCTATGTCCAGCACCCCATGTCTTTTTTCTGAGCCAGATGACTACTTTTCTCAGCTTCCCTTCAGTTCCACGGGGTAACGTGACTGAATTCTAGTCAGAGGAGGTGATTTATGCCATTTTCAAGCTGAGGCTGTTTGCAACTGATGTGCCTTTTCCATATTCTGTCTTTCATCCACCCAGCTGGAAATAAATTACTCCAAGATGGTGGAATTGAAAGAAAAAAGCAGTCATGAATCAATGTTTGAAAACAAGCCATACAGAAGAGGTATCAAATCTACCTCAAACTGTGATGTATTCAAGAAATAAACCTCTGTTGTATTAACTCATTGAAATTTCGGGGCTTGTCTATTGCAGAAGGCAACATTAATTCCCCTGACTAATATAGGAGGGCATTGTTATTTTTAGCATGTTAAAAGCAATACTATAATAGAGAAACATCAGTTTAATTATGACTGATAGATACAGGGAGGCAACCACTACTAGATTTACAAAACTTCCAAATTAATAGTGGGAGAAAGTAAATGACAATAGGCTTACCAATCCTGCAAAACTAAGTAAATGAAAAAGAGAAAATGAAAAAAATGTGTAGCTATTACAGCAGACACTGTAAATTACCTACTCACCATCCATTCCAGCCCACCTTCTTCCTTTACCAGAAAACCTCAATTTGTTTAGGGAGCAATAGAGATCTCTTGGTTTCAGGAGAGGTAAGTTTTTACCCCAGCCTCAAAGGACCAATCAAATTGGTCTAAACCCATCATGTAATATTATTCTCACTGGCAAGTGATCCATCTAGGAGTGACCAGATGTCCCCATTTCTGACAAAGCAGATGTGGGCAGAGCTCCCAGTGAAGGGGTTTCCTTCTCCTTAGAAGAAACCCCTTCACCCTTTGCTTTTTTACTTCACCTCCTTCTTCCTCTCTGGAATTAAGAAGTGATGCCAGGAGTTGCTGGAAGACATTTGCAACCGTGAGGAAGAAATTCACACGCTAAGGGTAAGCAGAAAGATAGGAGATGATTCTGTTGAGCAGCTAAACTAATACTACCCATTGCAGTTCACCTCCCAATTTCTCATCATTTGAGAAAAATAAGCAACTTCGAGGAGTTAAGTTCTGTAATCATTAAACAAAATATGATAATATAAATTTGAAAGGTTTATTTAATTAAGCAACTATTAGTCATTTATTCTGTTATGTACAGTCAAGCACATCTGTAACTGGTGCAGATAAACACAAAATAACACAAAAGTCCTAAATTCTAAGTATATTCGTTAACACAAAAACATGAACAGAATTAATTCCTCTGTTAAAAATCTGAGAGTGTCAGATGTGATTTAAAAATGAATCCTCATGCAAAAACCTGCACACAAATATTTACAGCACCTTTATTCACAATTGGCAAAACCTGGAAGTACTCAATATGTCTTTGTATAGGTTAATGGATAAACTGTGGCACATCCAGACAATAGATCATTCCATGCTAAAAATGATCTATTAAGCCACAAAAAATACATGAAGGAAGCTTAAAGGCATATTAGTAAATGAAAGAAACCAATCCAAAAAGGCTACATACTGCACGATTCCAACTACATGACATTCTGGAAAAGTTAAAACTATGGAGACAATAAAAAGATGGGTGATTGCCGGGGGATAGAGGGGAATGCGGGATGAACAGGCAGAGCACGGAGGATTTTTAGGGCAGTGGAACTATCCAGTAAGATACTGGTGAACACGTCATTTTACATTTGTCCAAACCCAGAGAAGGTACAAGATAATGTACACTATGGACTTTAGTTAATATATCAGTATCGGTTTATCAATTGTTAACAAGTGTACCACGATAATGCAAAATATTAATAATGGGGTAAAATGGAGAGGGTACATGGAGAGGAGGTATTGAGAATTCTCTATTTTCTGCTCAATTTTTCTAGAAACCTAAAACTGCTCTAAAAATAGTCTATTAATATGTTTTTTTAAAATGAAAACCAATTGTGTATTATTTAAATAAAACGCAGATTAAAAATTAAAAAGATTAAAAATAGAGAGCTAGATAGTGATAGTACAAAGGCAAGCAAAAAGGAAGCATAAGTGACAGTGTCAGACAAAGTGAATTCAAGGACGAGCATGTTAAGACAAGAAAGAATATTATGTAATAATAGAAGATGCAACCCACAAAGAAGATATGACAACCATAAAACTTTACACAATATACAACATAGCAGATAATTGCATAAAACAAAAACCCCTAACAATACAAGGAGAATTTGAAAATGTATATATACTCATGGCAGAGAGTTTTACTATATTTCAGAAGTTGGTGGATCAAATAGGTTTTAAAAATTAATAATATAGAGGATTTCAATAATCTAGTCAACAAATTTCATTGAAAAACTAAAGAACTTTATTCCTTAAACATTGAAAACACTTTTTTCTTTTGATCTTGAAATTATAAGAAAAAATTTATAGGCCATATTCTCGAATAATAATACAAACATTAGAAATCAGTAGAGAAAAATCTTAATTGCTCTATGATCAAGAAATATCTCCTTGATAATCCATGCATCTTAGAGAAATAAAAATTGAAATTATCCATTATCTAGGGGGAATTGTAGCAAAAAATATGGGCACAAATAACAGTGAGCT